AAATAAACCTGCTTCTTATGACTTCTGTAAGATGTTTTAAATAAAATATTATCTGTAAAAAACCTCAAATCATGTCCTTTCAAAGAATTATTGGAACTCTAGAAGAACTTTAACTCAGCAGAGTTTCCCCAAAGATTGTTTTTAACCCTGGTGGCCCCGCCTGTATAATGGTAGGGGAAACACTGAGATATTTTGCCAACAGACAGATAAAGTTGACTCTATGCAGGTGTATTCACCAGTCTCAGGACTTGAGGCATGTACACACATACACATGCAAATACATTATTGCCTATTATTAAATGACCATCAAAGCCTAAACTGGATAACAGAAAAGCTTTTTAATTACTCAACAATTTAAAATATTCTTCACTACAGAAATAATAGCTCCCAATTGAAAATGTCATGCACACAAMACTAGTGAATTTAGACGACAAAGGTGTGCGTTGACACTAAACAAAGCTGCCATGATAAAATAACTACAATGTAACTTTTTCTTTTTGTTCCCATATTATTTGCATGTTTGTGTTTCAGCAGTTTGCGTTTCAGCATTGCTGTCATTTCCTCTCAGTCAGCTGCTCAGTGTTTTTTCCAGTCAGTCAACCCCTTAACGCCTGTTGCCACTCCCGAGCAGCTCAGCTACTTTCGATACCTCATCAGCCAAACTGTAAATAATAAGATTCCTTCCCTTTCCACCTCAGCGTATCATTACATTGTCATTTAGTTCCCCTGCAATGTCCAGCTGTCTTAAGTTACTTTGTGCATCTGCTATCGTACGCTATGCTGCCCTGACAGCTTTTTGTTTTTTATTCAAATATTAAAACTTTATTCTTCCGTGTCCTCGTGTGTCTGCACTCTGAGTCCAATCCTCCACTCACCAACAGTTGTTACTGTTAGCAAAATATTTGAATCACTGGACAGATTTTATAGAAACAGTAATCACTGGGCTTAAATCTACAAATGATTAACTTCTGGAGTCAACCAAGTTCAAGATGGTTTCCACAGCTAATCAACACTTTTGAGAGGTTTGCAATACTTGACTTTTGACCCTTTGTATCAGTTTTTGAATAATAAATCCTGATAATAACAAGAAGTCTGTTGTCACCTTACTGTAGCTCTGCAAATGATTGTACATGTGTTGTTTCGCTCACTCCAAACATTATGCAAAGAACTGAATTTGCCTTTTGTGTTTTTAGATCAACAGGAAGTCCTGAAGAGGTCTGAGCATGTTATTRAGCTCGCTGATGGTCCTCTGGTGGTCAGAGTCAGRAACAGTCTGCCAACAACTGCTTCTTCTCAAAACACCACCTCCACAGCTCCAGCAGAGGTCAGTTTGGTCTATAAGTCAGGGGCTGTCGAATTTTGAAATTTTTTTTGTTTATCATAGTTTTTGACAAAGGTAGAAGGAAGTCATTTTTTACGCATAATATTTTTTTTTTGCTTTTCCTCAGGAGTTCCTTGTTTTATTTATTTATTTTTATTAAAAATGCAAAAAATAAACTGAAATATCACATTTACACAAGTGTTCAGAAGTTTTGCAAAAACGTCTAACATTTCTCTGGTTCCCCCCATTTCTTTTGAGTGATTGATGTCAGTTATGTCAAAAAAAATTGATAATTTGGAAGTGCACACACCTCTCTATAGAGGTCTCAAATGAAAGACACTGCCTGCAGAGCTCCGAGTGGTGTTCCACAAATCAAGTTCCAGTGTTAGATCAGGGTGGGTACTATAACTAGTTCTTAACCAGTCTCAAAGTCCCTAGTTACAGAAAAACAACAATCAACWAAACAAGGCCCAACAGTTTGAGAGACCTGCATTTGTTATTGTCCTGCTGACCTTAGTCCCACATCCGTACAAGATTTCTGCCATGAACTCAAACACTGATCTGTCGGAGTGAATCATCTCTTTGTAATTTGATCCTCCACYGAAACTCAGAATACAACAGAGTATCAATCATTGACTAGAAGAGAAATTTAATGTTACATAACACGTTTTTATTGTTGACTCTCAGGCTGCGGAGCAACAAACCAGTTAAGAAGCAGAACTGGTTATTGCTGAAATATGCTGAATGGAACAAAGTAGGCTACATGTTGTATTTATTCATGTATAATATGATCTTGAGTATAATACAACCTTCATTTTTTGAGCTTAAAGCATAAAAAAATCTTATTCTCATGTCTAATATTACCACTAACTTCAGACAGACTTCAGAATTTTCAGCCTTTGCGGTGCGCCCTCTGGTGGGGAAACATTATTTGGGGACACATGCTTGTGGGCATGTTTGTTGCTGCTGAGGATGAGCAGCASGAGCTTCCGTTTCCACGTGTCACTGAGAAAAAGAACAGCAATTTGCTCCCAGACCAGAGCAGAAGCCAGTTGTTAAATTAGCAAGATAGATTTATCAGAACTTGCAACTAAGTAACTACATAAGTAAAGTTTATTTATATAGCACCTTTCTTAAAATGAAAATCACAAAGTGTTTCACAATACAAGCAAGAAAAAATGTAAAAACATCACATTCATACAAAGTACAAATTAAAACAGGGTAGAATGCATTGAAAAAGTGTCCTTTTCATCACCATAGTTTACAAAAAAAAGTTTTTTCCTGTAAATTCTTATAATATAATAATGCATTTTATGGATACATAATTGAATTTACTGTATGTGTCATTTCTGGTAATTGGTTGAATTGTGATCTTCGTTCTTAAGATCCATTTCAAATTGTATGTGACACAAAATTGAGAAGAARTAGAGAACTGTATCAAACATATTTTGAGAGACCTGACAGCGTTTCAGTCTCCTTTCACCCTGACTGAGTTTGGGAGGCTTTGCAAAAAGAAATAATAGAAAATMCTCCATTCTGTGTGTTAAAAACATATTGCATCAAACCTCAAAACTAACTGTTGCTAAAGATTGTTTAATTCAGTACTAAATGTCTGAATATTTATCTAAATATGATATTTCAGTTCTGTACTTTTGAAATAATAATAAAAAAAATTTTTTTTTCACTGTCGTTATGAGGTACTGGTTGTAGATTGAGCCAAAGAAATAAACAATTGTAGCATTAGGCTTCATCAAAACCAAACTGCAAGACGTGAAGTGGGCCAGAATACTTAATAAAGCCACTGTAAATACACAATTCAAAACAATCCAGTAAATTGTAACCAWTTTTTTTATTTTAAAACAGAGCCCCCAGTTTATTCCAGACAGCACCACTTCACCAAATAATGRAGAAAATAAACTGTCTCCTGATGAACATCTGTCTTCTGAACTGAAGGAATGTGTGGAAGMAGAGGAGSAAMRAGAGGAAGAGCGTCCTTCTGCTTCCAGCTCTGTTCAGCTTCACCCTGAAGACAGTGTTTTATTCAAGCATTCCTGTCAACCTCATAATGTAGATGAAGTTAGTGACTTGAAAGTTGAGTTGGACAATCCTGATAGCTACCTGTGCCACTTGGAGGAATGTTCCTATAAATATGAGGGGCAGCAGGTCAGAGATGAAGGGACAGCTTTGAGCATTGCAGGATTGAACACTGAGGAATCTTCTCAGATTGACAAAAAGTTGTTGGATGTAGGGGATGAGTCATGTTTGAGTTTGACAAACACAGAAGTAGCCAGTTACAGCCTGTGTGRTGGGCTTCAGGTGGTGCTGTGTCAGGGTGATATCACCACACTTCAAGCTGATGCCCTGGTGAACGATGCCAATGAAGATTTGAAGCATTGTGAAGGGGTTGCTGCTACCCTGAGTCAGGCAGGTGGTCCAGACATACAGAGTCAGAGTGATGCTTTGATAACATCTAAAGGCAAAATCCCTACAGGTGAAGTTGTAGTGACCACAGGAGGTAACTTGCACTGCAAAAGACTGATGCACGCTGTTGGTCCTGTAGCAGGAAAAGCAGATGRCAGAGAGAGGATCTTACTARAGAGAACAATCAGGCGTGTTCTGAGCTTAGCTGAAATGATGAAATTTACTTCCATCGCCTTGCCRTGCATCGGCTCAGGAGTGAAAGGTATTCCAGTGTCTGTGTGCTCTGAGGCTATAGTGACTGTTCTTAAGGAGTTTGGTAGTCAGGGTGAGCGAAGTTTGAGTACAATCATCTTGATAGATGACCAAGAAGAAGWGGTCAGGGCCATGCAGGAGGCGTGTGACAGGCTGCTTCTGGGTAAAAGTACTGGAAACCACACAGTGAGTGGTGATCCAGTTGGACTGGAGTTCAGCATGGATTCYACTGGTCAAGAAGCAGCTACAGGAGATCCTGATGGAGGTCCTAAGGGTGCTGTCCAAGTTGAAATTGTTAAAGGGACAATCGAGACCCAACAGGTAAGAAATCCTTGAAGTTATCCGAAGGAAAACCTAAAATGGCATAAATTTTAAACAGTTTGGAAACTGAACCATTGTTACAAATTAGARAGTAATCTGTGGTGTACTCACACCTGATGTTCTTCTGTTTTAGGTAGATGCCCTGGTGTCTCCCATGGTYGGCAATGATCCTCTTTCCACTCACGTAGGAAACATTTTGAATAAATCAGTTGGTTTTCAGCTTACTGCAAAGTTCAGACGTAAATCGGGAGGCGAAACAAAGTCTGGTGAGTCAGTTCTAGTGGAGGGATTGGATGGACTTCCTTCTAATGCCATTTTTTTCCTCAACCTTGCTCCGTGGGATGAAGATGAARATGGAGTTCCTGTTGAGGTGAGAAAATGGAGTAAATCTGTTCAAATCAGACTTTATGACCAATTCTTCAGATTTTATTGTCCTGCACTTGTTCCATAAGAATATTTGTTGTTGTTTTACACAGACTCTGAGAGCGGGCATCAACAGCATCCTCACTTCCTGTGAGGAGAAAGGGTTTGGTTCTGTTGCTTTTCCTGTTCTTGGAGCTGGGATTGCCCTGCAGTTTCCTGACAGCGTGGTAGCCAGAGTTTTACTGGAGGAARTTCATACATTTGAAGAGAACAGAAGCAGCAGCGCACCGATTGTGGTTTGCGTCGTCATACACCCCAGTGATGAAGAAACTGAAGAGGTAATGAATCTGTCAGGTCATCCAGGGTTTCTCCCAGAAGGGTAAGGCTGGCTGTAGTGCTTTGAAATGCTGCCTCTGTGTGTTTGTGTGGGAGGKTTAGGGTGCGTGTCTAAAGAGCATTAGGGTAACATTTTTAACAGTGAAGTTAAAAACGTTACTGTACTTGGGGCAATAGCAGAGTGGTATAGTTTTTAATGCTGCASTTGCGATGTGCTATGTTGCTAATGCTAGGTCTAGGCAAATCTAGGCAAATTTGATCGGTCAAAAAATAAAATTTCAGCCATTTTAACATTCTTAAAAGCCACATTTTGGGAAACTCAGTTCATAAAGCATAGATATCTACATAATGTGACTGATCTGCCATGCACAAGGCAGTCAGTATATGGCAGAAGTAGTTTAGAAACATTTTAATAGATTTATACTGTTTAAGTGATGGATTGGGTAGAAGACACTRAATAGAGATAAGAAATATCACAATTTTGGTTGAATCATGTCCAAAGTTTACTTGTAGGGATTCATTTTTATGAGCCATTTTTCATTAYGGACAGCCTGCAATCAGTAAACACCAGGCTTAAAGATACTATCTAATTATTAAAMCTTTAATACAGCACTCTAATTACTTGATGATTAATACAATATCCATCTATAGTTTTTTCTTCATAGGACAAATGCATAATAATACTGGCATTGAACTTTTTCATTTTTACTTTCTAAAGGTCTTCAGGTCAGTCCAGGAATCATTGAAATATGAAGGGTCCACTCAGAATGATCAACAAGACCAAAATCAAGGTGGGCTTTATTAGAACTGTAAGATTTATTTTATGATCTTTTTTAGTATTTAATATTTTTTTTGCTAACTACTAGCACACTTACAGTGGTTTGCAAAAGTATTCATACCCCTTGAACTTTTCCATATTTTGTCACATTACAACCACAAACATAAATATATTTCACTGGAATTTAATGTGAAAGACCAACACAAAGTGGTATACAATTGTGAAGTGGAAGCAAAATTTTACATGAATCAAAATATTTTTTACAAATAAAAAAACTGAAAAGTGCGATGTGCAAAATTATTCAGCCCCCCTGAGTCAATACTTTGTGGAGCCACCTTTTGCTGCAATTACAGCTGCAAGTCTTTTAGGGTATGTCTCCACAAGCTTTGCACATCTAGTGACTGCAATTCTTGCCCATTCCTCCTTGCAAAACAGCTCAAGCTCAGTCAGATTGGATGGAGAGCGTTTGTGAACAGCAGTTTTGAGATCTTGCCACAAATTCTCATTTGGGTTTAGGTCTGGACTTTGACTGGGCCATTCTAACACATGAATATTCTTTTTTTTAAACCACTCCATTGTAGCTTTGGCTTTATGTTTAGGGTCGTTGTCCTGCTGGAAGGTGAACCTCCGCCCCAGTCTCAAATCTTTTGCTGACTCCAACAGGTTTTCTTCCAAGATTGCCCTGTATTTGGCTCCATCCATCTTCCCATCAACTTTGACCAACTTCCCGGTCCCTGCTGAAGAGAAGCACCCCCAGAGCATGATGCTGCCACCACCATATTTGACAGTGGGGATGGTGTTTTCAGAGTGATGTGCAGTGTTCTTTCTCCGCCACACATAGCGTTTTGCATTGTGGCCAAAAAGTTCAATTTTGGTCTCGTCTGACCAAAGCACCTTCTTCCACATGTTTGCTGTGTCCTCAACATGGCTTCTGGCAAACTGCAAACGGGACTTCTTATGGTTTTCTTTTAACAATGGCTTTCTCCTTGCCACTCTTCCATAAAGACCACATTTGTGTAGTGCACGACTAATTGTTGTCCTGTGGACAGTTTCCCCCACCTGAGCTGTGGCTCTCTGCATTTCATCCAGAGTCACCATGGGCCTCTTGGCTGCCTCTCTGATCAGTGATCTCCTTGTTCGGCCTGTAAGTTTAGGTGGACGGCCTTGTCTTGGCAGGTTTACTGTGGTGCCATACTCTTTCCATTTCCGGATGATGGATTGAACAGTGCTCCGTGAGATGTTCAAAGCTTGGGAAATCTTTTTATAACCTAAGCCTGCTTTAAACTTCTCCAAAACCATATTCCTAACCTGTCTGGTGTGTTCTTTGGACTTCATGATGCTGTTTGCTCCCCAATATTCTCTTAAMCAACATCTGAGGCCGTCACGGAGCAGCTGTATTTGTACTGAGATTAGATTACACACAGGTGGACCCTTTTGAGTCATTAGCAGTCATCAGGCAACTTCTGAATGCAATTGGTTGCACTCAGGGAAAAGGGGGCTGAATACTTTTGCACGTCGCACTTTTCAGTTTTTTATTTGTAAAAAATGTTTTGATTCATGTAAAATTTTGCTTCCACTTCACAATTGTATACCACTTTGTGTTGGTCTTTCACATTAACTTCCAGTGAAATATATTTATGTTTGTGGTTGTAATGTGACAAAATATGGAAAAGTTCAAGGGGTATGAATACTTTTGCAAACCACTGTACATGTCCCRTTATGTGTATGTGTATGCAGTGATTGGTGGGACAAAGTTCTGCTGAATACTGATTGGCTGTAACAGTAGAACATCATCACTTGTTCTTTGTGACAACTCCAACATGTCCTAAATATTTCATGGAAACATGTTCATAATTTTAAGAATCAATACTAAACATTAAGTAGTAAGAAGGTATTGTGGTATACCGTGGTATCATGATAACGGTACGTAAAATTTATGATGGTATGAGTCACATGAGGTGAAGCGCCAAATTTCCACAAGGCTGCAATGAAAACTGAGACATTAACTTTTCAGAAGATGCCCYGTGTTGTTACTGAAGTGAATAGAAACGACATGATTCAAAAAAACTTCCTCTAATTCTCAAAAAAGGTTTACACGCTCGCAACTGCAGCAGCGATTGGCAGAAGTACCCTCCTACCGCTGTCGGTGTCTTGTCGGTTATTCCCGTAATGTGAAAAGAGTTGCGTTTCTTTCTCTACATCTCCAGACAGCATGTAACATCGCCAAAGCTAGTTGATATGGCAGAATAATTACAATTTTCCCGAAAGTAGCAACTAGAGATGGGATAAATGGCTCTTTGAAGGGATCCGGATCTTGGGGAGCCGTTTGTTTCAYAGAGCCATTCAGAAGAGCCGTTTCGAACGTGTTAACATCATCATGTCGCCGTACGTAATGACGTTGTCCCATCATGTGAGCGGAACCATGTGTTTGTTACGCCGAAACCCCCCCCTTCCCCCATGAGCTTCTGTACTCCACAACTCGTCCTATTTTCCATGAAAAGGCAAAGCGGGAGCTATTTAAGTATGAAAAACTGAAGATTACATGAGGAATAAAAGAAATAAAACTACAAATGGCTCATTACTGCCCGCGWTTTGGCTCCTATCGTTCGTTGTAAAGAGCTGTTGAAAAGATACGGATCGTTTGCGAACGTCACATCTCTAGTAGCAGCACGTTCCTGATAACTTCTTTCCATTGTCCTGAAATGTCTGGAGCATGCAAGTTTGCGACTTTTACTTCCTGTTTACTACACACATGCGTCAGATGTAAYTGATTCGCTTCAAGCTAGTTGATAGAAAAATGTCTGATTCGCATTTCTCCATTTTTTTTCCTTTTTGCGAAATTTATAAAATTTGCTCAAAATTCGAATTAAAGTTGGATGGAAACGCGGTTACCGGCTCCCCAAAGATGAGTCGCTTTAGTACTGACAGACAGCTTCATGAACCARCTGGCAGCTGGTTTCTTAAGTCAAACAAACCGTGGGGCTCCTTTCGGATTTAAACTTTCGTTAATTTTTTTCCAACCCACAAGCTTTGATTTATTTTTTTCGACATAATAAAGGGCAAACTCATTCTGTGACTCCTGCTGCTGCTCTGAGTGACAGCAATGTCAGAGCAGCTAAGAATTTTTCAATGCCTCTCTGGCTCTGTGCATGTAAAATCTCATAAGCACTAGTTTCTGTTAATTATCAACACAAACTGCCACACTTCGGTAATACTGCATACCATAGTATTTTCTTAAGGTTAGACCATTGTATGAAAAAGATCAATACCACTCAATYCCAGTAAGTAATTTGGTGCACAAACAAAGCAACGCTACCAAAAATATAACCTCCCTGGTGGAGGTAAATATTCATTATCAACAGAATTGTCTGTTTTCGATCCAAACCATAGAAAATAWTTGAGTCAGACATTTATAACTTATTAAGTGTCTCAATACTTTTGGGGAATTTTTATTATCCTCATGTTTTTTATTGATGGTTCTTAAACATTTGCAGTTATGAATGGATTTTTATGAAACTTTCAGGGCATAATGGGATTGTCCCAAAGAAAAAGTGATTAAATTTTGGTGGTGATCTGGCAACATCCACCAGAGCTGAAGCTCATTGTGATCTGGCACAAACTTAAACCACAGAACACAAGCTGCTTTTTAGTGATGTCATACTGTAACAGCCTATCAGCATCCAGCAGAACTTTGTTCCACTAATCACAGTCCAGCAGCTGCTCACTCTTGATTGGATAACCTAGGGTCCCGGCGATGGTGTGCTCTCTTGGAGTGTTTCTAATTATTAATAGAAAGCAAAGAGTAAACATAACAGGCTTGCTATTTTTTCTGTGTAGAGTCCACCACAAGGAGGATTGTCCTACTTGGAAAAACTGGATCTGGGAAAAGTCACCTGGGTAACACCATATTAGGAGAGGAACTTTTCCTTTCGTATCTTTCCTCTACCTCTGGAACCCAAAWRGTCCAAGCAGASACCAGGTCTGTGAACGGAAGAAGCCTGACTTTGATCGACAYGCCAGGTTTCTTTGACACAGAAAAGTCTGAGGAGGTTTTGAAGCCAGAGATCATGAGGTGTATCACAGAGTGCTCACCTGGGCCTCATGTCTTTCTCATTGTCCTCAAAGTGGAAAAGTTTACAAAGCATGAGCAAGATGTTATTGATAAAATACTSCAATATTTCTCAGATGATGCTTTAAATTATGCTGTCCTCGTCTTCACTCATGGTGACGACCTTCAGGRGAAGAAAATCGAAGAGTTTGTTGGTCGGAATAAGAATCTGAATGATCTGCTGAAGAGGTGCGGTGGTCGGTGCCACGTCTTTGATAATAAACACTGGAACAACAATCAGCCACATGATTACAGAAACAACCAGTTTCAGCTGGAGGCGTTGCTTCACACGATAGACAAGATGGTGGAAAAAAACGGATCTTGCTACACCAACGATGTTCTGCAGCATGTAGAAGAGAGGATCGTGAAGTATGAGGAGCACATCCAGGAGCTGTCAGTTAACCAGCCCCCAGAGGAGATCAGAAATAAGGCTAAAGCATTTGTGTCTGATGAGCTTCTGATTTATTTAGCAGCAATCACAACAGGTGTTTTGTTGGGGGCTTATTTGGGCTCAAATTTATCACTGGAAGTTGTTGGGAAATTTCTGAAGAACCCAGCTGAAATAATAAAGCTTGTGAAAAGCGTTACAGCTCTTTCACCGGGATCAGTTCGAGCAGGAAATGAGGTGGCAATTTTGGACGATAAAGTGACAACAGGTGTAACTATAGCAGTTGGTGCAGTAGCAGGAGGAATAATAGGTGGTTGTATTGGACATGAAATATATAAGGAAGCAAAAACACCAATGGAGGCAACAACAATGACTATTAAGGCTGTCAAGGAGAAGGAAAAGACCTTCAGGACACGGCTTAATCCACGTTGAGTAGGGGTGTAACAAAACATTTGTCTCACAAGATGAGATAAGACACTGGGCTCAGTGGACAAGACAGGCGAGTTTAGTAGTACTTCTAGGATAAAAGCATTTGCCACAAACTCKATTGACTGACATGTCTCCTTTCTCATGACTCATGATTGTTTTCAGGCCTTAGAACAAAGGTGTTTAAGAGGTTTCTCTGCTCCATAACACCTGATTTGATTGTAGAGGTGATTAATACGATTTTGTAGAGCTTGAAGAGGAAATTCAATCATCCAGTCAGGCTTGTTGGAGCAGAGAAACATCGTGGATAGGGGCCCTCCTGTACCAAGATTGGACATCCATGCYTTAGAAGGAGGTCAAACTCATTAAAAATCTGATCAAGGACCAACTTTATTTTTTAAATCTTGTTAAACATTTAAAAATTTGCCAGTTTTTTCTAATTTTGTCAAAATCCTAATGTACAAATATAAAATGTTGCTTTTTCTGTCTGAATGTGTTGCGTATGGCTGGGAAATATACGGTTTTTCACGGAAAGTTAAACCTTGTCATTTTATCAACATTTACAAAAACCAGTAAGCTGTATTTAACAACACATATTTTTACAGGTGTCTGCCCTTACATGTCAAGTGGACAGCAAAACTTTTTTAGGAGGGGGTACCTGTCATTTCATGGGTATGGCATTGAAATATGGTTGTAGAAGGAGGGCCAAGTGTCAATATTTGTAATTTTCTTCCTCCTTTTAAATTCTTTATAATGTTCGTCAAAAGTTGACAATTTAAAAATTCTCACAATTTTGCAACTCTGGTCAGTTTATGGTTTTATTCATTTATCATCCTTTTTCTAAAATGTCGTAGTTTCCATGAGCAAGACATCTATTCCTCAACTGCTCCCCGAATGTTTACATAGCTGTCCGTTTCTGCACTTATCTCAGATGTGATCAGTTAAATGTATAACACAAATATCGTCATTGTATGGAAATATAACAAAACATAGAGCTTTACTTTACCGACAGACATTTGAGAGTCATAGAGTGTAATGCCAGTACAGTTTTCTCATTTTTTTTACCTTGAAGTTAGAACTTTTTCCATTCTGAACTCAAAGAACAAGAGGTTCAAACATTCTATCATCTTCAAAGTTGTCATACTGTGTGAACTCTGCTCTGTCCTGTTTATAATGTGCACAACAAAATGACATGACAATCTGTATGATTTGAATTTTCATTTTAACTATCTGTTTATTTGTACAACTGTGAAAGCAGCCAGTCTTTCAGAATTGCAATACATCCAACCAAATATCTGAAGAAATTTATAGTTATTAGAGGTTAGTACTGATGTTAAAAGCACAACACTATATTCTTAGGTTTTCCTTTTTGTAATGTTGACAATGTTTAATCTATTATGTTTTGATTGAAATAGGTTCAGTTACATGTCCGAATTATATGACAACACATAATCAACCGTAATGAGAACAGTAGGTCAGAATTTTGTCTGAATGCCTGTGATTCAGCCGTAGGTCAGTAGGGGGCGAACGCAGGCATTGAAGAACCTGTATAAATTGATGAACTTCCTGGTTTTTCACCAKTGTGGTTTCCTGTCAGCTTGGGTGACAGTAAACCTCACTCAGATCCAGAATTCTGGTGTTGTATGGTTTAATTCCTTCTACAAATCATTTTATTTAACAATGGTGTTTTTAATATCGACTTCAGTTTGTTGAACACGAATTTTCTTACATATCTATAGAACCTCTTAAAGATCTAATAGAGCCGAAAAGACAGATCATCACCATGCAGCTGACAGAGCTGCAGATATCTGATCCAGAACCTTGAAAGAAGTACATCTGTGCTTTATGGTGTGGAGTCTCTGCCACAAAGAATCAAGGCCATGTAAAGCAAAGGGAAACACTACACAAGAATGGTACTTCCTTGTAAAATTAGTTTATGTATTTCTATTAGGAATTGGATGTTCTCAAACTGCACTTTAATATTTAACCAGCAGGAGGCTCCCTACAATAGTGTTTTTGTTTCACATTCTGCTTCTGTACAGATCTGTTGGTGCAATAAAATTTACAAGTATTCATACTCATCAACAAGGATTCCTGCTCRTAACAGGATTAATCATACACCTGTACTTATTCTTCTGGATTCCTTTTTTAACTTTTTGCCTTTTATAAACATTTATTTTCTGTTTATGTTGTGTTCTTTTGTGTTTAAAGATTTAAAAAGCAYAACCTCATTTTAACATTTGCAGATTTATTAATGTACTTTTAAAAGTACTCTATGTAATAATTTTCATCTGTTCAGCCTTTACTTACCTCTGTGTTCTTATATCTAAAAGGTGATCATGTTTTTTGTTTTTGTTTTTTTCTGGATAAGGGATGTTGAAATCACAGCTTCACAAAATGTTACAGTTCAAATGTCAAAACTTACAATAAGCCAACACCAGGTGGAAGTAAACGAGTTGTAGACATTTTGGAAAAACTATTAAAGTAACTGGGATTTCAAATAATATTGTGATATCCTGTGTTCTGTGCTAGCACTTTGATTAAATGTTCTGCATGGCTGTCAGCTTCGACTGCATCAATGTTTAGCTCGATATCTGAAGACCTCATAGAGGTATAGCCATGATTCTATGTTGATTGAGTTTGCCTGACTCCAAATGTTAATTCAGTTGTAAAGCTATGTTTACAAATGAGAGTTTAGTCAAAATGTTATTAGYTTTTCAAGTAGTTTGCTATCAGACAAACAGGGCTGCGTCTAACAGTCCATGCTAAGGTTATAAGTAAAATAGTTGTACTTCTATGCAATGCATTGGGGAAGATGCTCTACTCCGCACCATATTTTTGCTCACTWTAGACATTTTTTGCCATTTTATATTGAGTTCAAAGTTAATCAGTTGTAGATATCAACCTAATAATTTCTTCAAATGTTTTATTAAAAACCATCCATGGATTCACAAGATATTTTGCTAACAGATAGTTGATTCCAAATAGATCTTGTGCGATCAGTTAGCACTTGGGAGTATGAGATGGAAATCAGGCTTAGCTACTACCACACCAAAGTATTATGTCAAGTTTAATAAAACAGAAATTTTATTGTAATTTTCATGTTTTCTAAGGTCAAGTTGCTGTGGCAGCCATCTTAATTTGACTCAAAAAGTTGAAAAGTTGTAGTCATACATCGATAATTTCATTAAGCTTTGTGCACAGGTGTATCTTATATAAATCCAAGTCAATTACAGTCTACACAGGGATCTATATTATATCCTGAAAAGGTTAGACAACCTCCTGTTATGTCAAGTCTGAACACTACATCAGTAAGAAAGCAAAAGCGATTTTCCTGTCTAAAAAAAATCCAGGGGCGCTAAATCAACTAGGTAAAATTAGAGGCTTTAAAATCTGTCATTTAAATATCAGAAGTCTTGTACCTAAACTGGATGAATTCAAAGTAATACTTGCTCAGACACAAGCACATGTTATG